AATGGAATATGCAAATAAAATACATAAACAGGCCCTCGCAACCACACGCTCCGGTGGAGAAAGCGTTCCTCAGCAGCTTATAAAGCAGTATGAGCGGCGCAGGCCTGAGGATGAAAACCAGCTCGTTTCGTTAACTTTCAGGCACGGTTCTCACCGTCGGGACTTACCCCAGGAGGATGGCCTTTGAGTTTCTGATCAGCCCGAACAACACCAGCAGACAGATCAGGACGTGGAACATGAGCAGGCCCAGATACCCCAGCCACCTATCGCAAAAAGATAATTAAAAAATCAAAATCAAAACACTTGTGGTCAAAGAGAATCGGGACTCAGTTAGCAAGTGCAGGGTGAAAAGATTCCGCCTTCGATTCCTGGCATTGTTGTCCCCAAATCGACAAGCTGTATAAACGCTCATCTGATCTCAGACGCTAAGCAGGTTTGGCCCCAAATAGTTCCTAGGATGGGAGACCACCAAGGAAGTCCAGGGTTCCCATGCAAAAGAAGGTAATGGCAAACCACCTCTGAAAGCAGGATTCTAAGAAATGAATGGCCTCGTCCTGAGGCTCAGTTGCCGTTCTAGCTTGAGACAACGAGTAAAGGTAAAGGTAAAGGTTTCCCTTGCTCAAAAGCCAGTTGTATCTGACTCTAGGGGACGGCGCTCATCTCCGTTCCCAAGCCGAAGGGCCAGTGCTGTCTGAAGACTTCTCCGTGGTCATCTGGTCGGCATGACTAAACGCGGAGGCACATGGAACGGCTGTTACCTTCCCACTGCAGCGGTATCTACTTGCAATTTCTTGCTGTAGGTTGGCAGGAGCTGAGGCCGGGGACGGGAGCTCACTCCGTCACGTGGTGCTCGGGTCTCAAACTGCCAACCTACAGACATTTCGGTCTGCAGCTCAGCGTCTTAACCTCTGAGCCACCGCGGCCCTCTGAAACAACAAACCCTCCTATAATTAAGGCAATCTATACCTGAGCTCAACCCTGACCTGTATGGCCCAGGCTGGTCCGACCTCGTCAGATCTCGGCCAGCCTCATCAGATCTCGGCCAGCCCTGCTTAGTACTCGGATGGGAGACCACCGGGAAAGTCCAGGGCCTGCTACGCGAAGGCAAGGCAGTGGACAACCACCTCTGGACATCCCTTGCCTTGAAAACCCTGCAGGGCCACCGTAAATCAGCTATGACTTGACGGCACTTCCCACCACCACCCTGCTTGAGCTTCAATGCTTGTAGGGGAGCGGTGGCACAGAGGATTTATCCTCTGGTTAACATCTGAACTGAACAGAGCTGCTGTCAGTTCTAGCCCCGCGCTGGTGTGAGTGACCAGCCTTGTCCCCAGCTCGCCGTCCACCCAGCGGTTCGAAAGCTTCGGCGAGTAGATAAAATGGGTACCACTCCTTAGAGAGGGTGGGCACACTAAACTCCCCGGTGGGGGAGGTGTTAGCCGGCGAATGGAATTGTCCAGCTCGTAAGCTCGGAAGCCTGGGGGAAAAAGACCTCTTCGGCATTAAGAAGCCTGTGATGGGCCATTCCGGCCAGGCGGTGGCAGTGCGGCGCAACGACTCAAAGCAGCCCTGGAAGAACCAACAGTCATCAAGCCAAGCTGAAAGTGAATGCCGTCCGGAACACATCTGAAGCCTACAGCTGAACAAAATCCCCGCCGGCTGCAAATGTGTGCGATTTAAAGAATTATATGTTGTCCACCCTTACCCCTATGAATCACTGTTAGTCCCTTGTGAAACTTGTGTAACTGTAAATCGCTCAGAGCCAGCAGCTCTGCAGGATTGAGCGATCAATAAATCGAAAGGTATTATTATATTATTATAAGCCTTTCGGGTCTGAGAGAGACAGAAAGGACCCCAGGGCCCTAAGTCAGGGGCGTGAACGCTGCGTGTAACCCAAAGGATCACCCCCACCACCACTACGAGGGAAAAAACAACCACCAACCCAAGCAGAAGCACATGGGAAAACACCCACAAGAATATCCACGCTGCCCACCTGTACCAGTCGTACAGATCGATCCGGATGGCCAGCTCTTCCAGAGAGACGTCCTCGTTCTTCCAGAAAGGGATCTCGGTCGCCTGCCTCACCAGCTCGTCCAGGAGCCCTTGGAGCTTTTGGACGACGTTCAGGTAATCTGTCTGCTTGGCGAATATTTCCTCGAGGACCACCAAGTTTGGTTCTGCTGTTTGGTTCAGAGCGACGGCCGTGTCGAGCACCTGCGGTGGGGGAAGAAAGACAGGCCCGATCCTTGACGGGGAACCTCCAACTGAGCACAGAGACACGAGGAAGGCGGGCGATGGGGCCGGGGAACCCGAGGGTCAGTGCCGAGGTGGATGACCCAAGGCAGTGGTTCAATATTTTGGACTCTGAGATCTCACAGGCTGGCTAGGTGCCACACCAGAGACTTTCCCCGACAAAACGCAGTCTCTCACGCAAATCAGCAACCCGGGCATAAAGATCAATAACTTCTCCCATTCAGGAGCAACAGAGCAGGGCAGTTTCAGAAGGCAAGCGGTTTGGGTCTGCAGAAGGGAAGTTAGATTCGAATCCAGCACCACAACAAGGTTTTCGGCATATGAGCTTTTTGAGAGTCAAAACCCCCTTCGTCGGACGGGTGGAATAGAAGCAGGAGCCTCATTCTTTCTTGCTCTTTCTCACACCATTCAGACTCTTGCCACTGGGCATGGGAAGACCAGTTTCTAACATAAACCAGCTGCAGTTCGGGACCAGCAGGAAAAAGGCCCTGACTCTTAAGGCAGCTCCTTGTATTCACGTTATCAAACGGAAGAGCTGTAAATTCACTTTTTTTTTACCCCCTACCCTCCTGAGCAGTGACACTCCAAAATAACTATCTGTCTCTGTCTATTGTGTGTGTGTGTGCGCAGCTGCTCAGACCATACATACTCGTGACAGAACGTTTCCTTATTTATCCCAGAAAGTCAAAGCTGTTATTTTTTAGAAAAGGATAGAGGCAGAACAGAATCACATCTCCCTCTATTCATAGGCAGGCAGGTGAGAACAGGGAAGACCCACAGGTGGAGAAAAGCCCCCGGGACAGGATTTCCGCCACCGCCTGCCGAGACGGACTCTTTGGTGATTCCCTTCCACTCACCCGGTCGTGGACCCCTGAAACAGTGCGGTTCGCATGTCGTAGGGAGTATGTCACCCGGTGAATACCGTCGCTGGTCTCCCCGTTCCCATAGAAGCCGACAGCTATACCAGCGCTACGAGAAAAGGAAACAAACGGGCGATCAATGAGTGCATAGGACAAGGCCAGTGCATTTCCGCCGGCTCCTGACTTGGGAAAAGGCTGCCCCCCCCCCCCATCATTTGAGGGAGAAAGCGAGTCACACCTTCAAACTGCACAGCCAGAGCTGCCGCCGGGCTCACTCCGACCCCTCCATGCGGCACAGACGAGAGACCTGGCTCAGCTCCTGGGCTGAGGAAGGACAACGGAACACGGGGCTTTTCCTTCGTTCTGCCACACCGCGTCTGGCACAGCTCCCGGGGCCAGACCCAAAGAAAAGCTGGAGTGTCCGCCCACGTGAGCGTCCATTGGGAGCCTCCCACCTTCAGGGAACACAGTCTGCAGTTCTGCCTCCCCCAAACCCCAGCATATTTCAGAGGACTGTGGGCTGCCTTAGAGGATATATAGTCCGTTTGGTGTAGAGCCAGTTTGGTGTAGTGGATATATAGAGCCAGTTTGGTGTGGTGGGTTAAGTGCGCGGACTCTAATCTGGGAGAACCGGGTTTGATTCCCCACTCCTCCGCTTGCACCTGCTGATGTGACGTTGGGTCAGTCACAAGCTCTGGCACAGCTGTTCCTGAAAGAGCAGTTTGTGTCAGAGCTCTCTCAGCCCCACCCACCTCACAGGGTGTCTGTTGTGGGGAGGGGAAGGGAAAAGGAGTTTGTAAGCCGCTCTGAGACTCCAAGTGAAAGGCGGGGTATAAATCCAATCTCCTCCTCCTCCTCCTCCTCTGTTCGGCATCTGCGCTTGGGTCTCACCTGCATTAGCAAACTGGAGAGTGTTCCATGACCCCCACTGACTATCCCAGTGGCTTCGGAGGGGGGGGGAGCCCGAGGAGTTGAGACCTGTGGCTGAGGAGGACCAGATGGACCAGGGAGGGCCTTGGAATTGCAGAGGTGCCTGCTGACAATGCTCCGCCAGCAGCAGAGGCCCCCCTGCCAGGGCCGGCGAGGGAGACCCTGCCACCAGCCCTTCACGATACCCGTTAGGCCTCCCACCTGGGCCCCTAGACCCCCCCCAGTACCAGTGTTTCCTCTAAGCTGAGTTAGTGTGAGCCAGCTCACAGTTTTTAGCCTCCGGCTCACCCGTTTTTGTCTTAGCTCAGGAAGGAGGGCTCCAGAGCAGACTAATTGATGCAGTAGCCAAATCGCTCGCTCACAACTTTCATGCCAGTCGCTCACAAAGTAGAATTTTTGCTCACAAGTCTCCACAGCTTAGAGGGAGCCTTGCCCAGGACCCGCTCTCCCACTCTGCACGAACGGCAGCGGCCGAAGGCCCAAGGCGAGGCAGCGCAAAGGAGGCGAAGCGCCGCGGAACTCGAGTGGCGCTCTGAGAATACGACTTCCTCACAGGATTCTGGCCAGAGCTTAGTGCAGCCTCAGGAACCCCAGCACCTGCCGGCAGCGCAGCTGGGGCCTACGACCCACTTAGGCCTGGGAGGACTGCCTTGCTGGATCAACGGGTCGACTAGGTGCAAGCCCTGTGCTCCAACACCTAGGCTCCATCTCCCGTCTACGCCCCCCAAAGTCTCACTATCTAGGGCTGACGGTGCTACTCCAAAAGAGACCTGACCTGCCGGCAGAGCACAGGACAGTACGCAGCCCTGGAACTGAACATAAGAACTAAAGAGAAGCCAGTGTTGGATCAGGCCAGTGGCCCATCCAGTCCAACACTCTGTGTCACACAGTGGCCAGAAATACCAGGTGATATCAGGAGGTCCAGCAGTGGGGCCAGGACACTAGAAGCCCTCCCACTGTTGCCCCCCCCCCAGCACCAAGGATACAGAGCATCACTGTGCCA